TTCGTCTCTTTCCCTCACGGCTTCGCCTCTAGTTCGCCTTTCAATTCTCACAGGAAGCCCTAATCCTATACGCGAATACACAAACACGAATCGGCTGCGTCGTATTTACATATATACCGAAGAAAAAATTTCGAGGCGGTGCCTCATACTGCCTCGAGGCGTTACGCTCTAATGCGTACGCCTTGTGCGAAAAAATCGTAGGCTTCGCTGGATGGTTCGAGGCGTAAGCCCTGATACGCATGACTTCCGCCTCGACTTGAGGCGCGACTCAATGCGGACGCCTTGTTCGCTTTTTTAATGGTTGAGTAAAACAAATGGCTATGAATAACAAAATCCGCGATTTAACAAATAGATGTTTTCACCTTGAGTTTCCTCACTCTCACTCATAAAAGTAGAGTTTAGCGGAGATAGAATATCAGCAACCCTAGAGACGCCACTAAGAGACAAGTGATGCCTACGGTATTGTTCGCCGGAGAGGTAGCCGGAGGAGGAGAAGTTGATGGACGTCCGATGATTCGCCAATTCCTGGTCGGAAGATGTTCTTCGATAGAAGGCACTAATGTGAAAAGAAGGTGATCCGCGTAATTGTCCATGGTGTCGTCAACATCCAAGTTTAAATCAAAGAAAGGGGATCGAAGAAGATTCATTCGTCCTTAATCATCATACATGAATATGTGATCGCATTCCTAATCGGTCATTCATGGAGGCGACGTCGGCTTGAAAATAATCCTTATATGTGTAAGGATTAGAGTAGGAGAGAAGCGGAGAAGAAGGGGAGAGGAGTACTATTTCGGCTAGGGTTAAGATGGGGTTCCTTTTGGAGTTGGAATAGGGAAAGGAAGAATAAAGGTTGTAGGAGAAATCTGAAATTTTAATTTCGGGTTTTCTATGGGAGAAAGGGAAGCCATTTTGAAATCCAAAACTATTCCAAATATGGGGCTTGGAAGGGGCGGCGGCTAGAACAAATTTAGGGAGGTGTTAATAAGCAATTAAAAGCTAGATTGGAGGGAGAAAGGAGGTTAGGGGGGGCGGCCATATGGGGAGGGGGATTTAAGTGTCTAGGTTCAATGTATGTAGGCCCAAGGACTTGAATAATAATTGGAATCAAATCTGAAATTATATTTCAGAATTGATTTGATTTGGGAGGCTTCCTAATTGGGATTTAACAATATTGGAAAGTATTTGAAATTCTAAGTTTAATTGAATTCAAATAAGGACACTTTCCTAATTGTCATTGGGATATTTTAGGAAAGTAATTAGATACCATTTGCTACCCATAGGGGTAAAATAGGAAAACTGAAATGCAAAATAAACAAAACATAAAATACATCAAAAGTAAAGGCTCCAAATCGTAGCCGTCGATCTACAATTCTATCGATGGTACACATGTCGAAATCTCTGACTGATGTCCTGATCATTATCTCACATCAAAAATATGTCAGACTTATTTAGAAAAACAAACATGATAACCTACAAGCCACGTGAAGCTCCAGTAAAGCCATGCCAAAAACTATATATTGATGTGAAGGAATCGAAGTCAATAAAAGATAATCTAAGTTTAGCAGAAAAACTAATCTATCAACAAAAGATAATCTAAGTTTAGCAGAAAAACTAATCTATCTATTCTATAATCGTCCACATATTAAATTGATGTTATATCTCATAAGTCAATTCATATATAAACCAAATGACACATTAATGTTGCTTATAAAGTCCTCATGCATTTCAAATCTAATCTTGCAAAAGAAATTCTCGATAAAAGTCTTGAAAATTTAAAACTAGAAAGCTATACTAATGTTGATTATGTGAGATCAATGGTAGATAGAAGATCAAATTCGTGATATCATACTTGAGAAAATCTTGTAGTATGGAAAAGTAAAAAAAACAACCAATGGTCTCAAGTTCAACAGTAGAGTCAAAGTTCAGAGCAATTGCTCAACAAATTTATGAACTTTTATGATTAAAATTTTATTAAAATATATAAAGATTAAATTGAAATGACATATAAGGATAAAGTATGATAATAAGTCCACAATTAGCATTGCCCACAATCTAATAAAACATGACCAAACAAAACACTTGGAGATAGATAAACGCTTCATGGTAAGGACAAATCATATAATGGGTTGATTTTCACTCATGTTCCAGCAAGGAGTCATCTCGTTAACTTATTCACCAAAGAATTATATAATGTTGCATTTCAAGATACTAACAAACTAGGAATGATAGACTTCTACCAATCTGTTTGAGGAGTGTTGAAGGATGCTAAATGAAGGCTAGATAAATGACAAGTGGCCAGCTATAGGATGCAGACAACCATAGCTGTAAGAAAAATAACAACAACAATAAGGGTAGACAACAGGAATTGATGGAGGAATCGGTAAGTCATTATATGAAAGAACAGGTATTCTATTACTTCCTAACCAAATCAAGAAACATGAATCCCGTTAATTAATGAGGAGATTGAGGAAACCAGCAAGAAAGGAAGTTGATGTCCCCTGGATTGATGGATCACTTAAGAAATGTTTTTTTTTTAATTATAATTATTGCTCTTTCTAAAGGTGTACAGAATTATAAAATATTCTAGACAACTATATAGATAAGTATCCCTTGACTATATAATAAAGCAAGCAAGCTTTCACCATTCTCCTATTTCAACATAAATGCCTATAAAAAAATGTTCTAAGTAACTTGATATGTGCTTTATGTTGGTGGCATATTTCTAGCTAGTGAAATATCAAATGAAATAAGTGGAATGTTAAACCAATAGAAAAATGTTAAGATAATAACGCGCTTAGAATTATTATAACAAAAATGAGTACTAAAAGCAATTTTAGTGATAGATTTGTAAGGTCAGTTTATATAAATAAACCCCACTAATTATGCATTCGAGATTAATTGCGAAGTCCAATATATAACTTTATGAAAGACTCTCATTACCTCCCTTAGTTTTGGATCACATGTTAGCAAGAGTTGGTTAGGGTAGGTGACACTATGAAGTTAATTACTAAAGAAGGTATGTTTGTCAAGCCCAATTAGGTCTGAAAAAAATAATGAGGAAGAAATGGAACGCAACATATAGCTAAAAAAGATAGAATAACTATTGCTCGAGGCCTAAATTGTCATGCAAAATCTAATAAATATATAACAAAAGAATTCTTACTCGTTTAAGGGCAGATAGAATGTGATGAAGACCAAAGCATTAAGGAGAAAATATGTATCAAAGATACACTGAAGGTCTTAAAACTGTGTATGATGGAGCAGTTAGTTGGCTTAAAATAGTTGGTATGATGAATGATGATAAAATTATAATGATGAGAGAGCACTGATTGCCCATTAACTAATAGAATAACCAAAAGATTTTTCAATCAGAAGTTAAATCAAGGATTAACATTAAGTTTGCATCTTTTTACATTAGTTATAGAGATTCTCAAAAAAAAAAATCAAAATGAGATATCTTAGTACATGCTATCTACAAATTATAAGGCTTTGACAAGTAATACCTGTTCCGAAGTAGGTAAAAAGTAAGAAAAACGGAGAATATAACAAGTTTCATATTAGTACAAAAATGAATAAGTACATTGTACAATTTCATGGACATCCAAGAAATCAATAATTAGCAATAAATATAAATAGATAGCAAGTTTAAGTAGCTTGGATTTGTTATTCAAAAGAATGGGGATGAGGATGGGCACAACTTCTATAATTAATGTTGATTGGTTAAAATTGAAAAAGTATCTTAGGGATACACAATGGAAAAAAAAAAATTAAACTGACTAGAAAAAAAAATACTAGTAGCCAAGCTGAGTGTTGTTACAAAAGAATGTGATAAAAGAGAGGCATAGAGTGAGAAAATGTTATTTTAGAGATAGAGTGGGCATAATAGTTATTGGATATAAAGTAGTAGAAACTAGTTTTAGATTGATAGGCATGTATGCAAGATGGAAGAAAAACACAAAATAAGATAAGAGAAAACATTTTGTGAAAAGTTATAAAAGGGAGAGAAAAAACTAAAATTACTAGAAATTGTACAGAATAAAATATAATACAGAGTTACTCATGTAACACTTAACAAGAATGAGTGAAGGACTCATAAGCTGACCCAAAAAGTTTGGCTAAAGCTAATGATGCCAAAGATGAAGATGATGATTGCAAGAATAAAACATCAATTTAATATTGACATATATGACATAAGATAAATGTTATTTTATGTTACCCATTTTGCCCTCATACAATGCACAACTGTAGAGAAAACTTCATAAAGATTTCCATCAATTACTTCAGCATAGTTGTAATAAGCATAGGACAAAGATAGTTAAAGAACTTACAATTATTTTACGTCATGATGCATAAAAAATGCAAAGAAAAGTTCATTGAAAATGAAAGTATCAAACAATGAAACGCAAATGAAAGTCCCTAGAATTTTCAACCATTTTGTAGCAATGACATAAATATTTGTTGAAATAACATAAAAGATTGCAATTAAGCCAAGCTGAGGAACGACCCAATACCTTTGAAAATGAGCGGTCACTGGCATTAATATCCAAAAAATCACAATGTATAATTTCTACATCTGCAAACCAAGTTAAGTCTTACAATATACTTAAACAGGCATTTGCATACAAGGAATTCAAAGAAATAGTCAGTCAGTCTGAAAGATGTAAATTACCGTAACTGCATTGACTCGCTATTATAAAATTTAATTAATCTTGATGTGTAAATCTTAGGCGCATACCATTATCATGAAAAATATCATAAGAATCGACAACATCAAAGCCTTTTCCCTTAGATTCATTCTGACAATTCTTATACTTAAAACATTCCCTTTATTGGCAAACAGAAAACAAACTAAGACAATAAATGAAGAGTTCACATTGCTGGAGTCTGACGGATTTGATGGATGCAAGCTCTTCATAGACCTACTTAGGGCTCATTTACTAATGCTTTCTTCACAACACGCGATGCAAGCATTTGTTTTATACAGGTAAGCATCTTTCCTGCCTATGTAGAACACACAACTATCCAACTAGTCAAAGAACACGACAAAAATACTTGGGGAGGCACTCGTCGCCTGATATCTCAGACCAGTTGCATAGTTTACTCCTACCAAGTTCAGCAAAATCAAGTCACAGTAGAAAGTAGAAGATTGATTCAAGCAACAGTACTAATGCATATATTGTCTTATCATGATAAATCCAGTGTAAATATTATCACTAGGGATAGCTAAATTCTTTCATAGGTTAGAGCACTATGAGTATCCTTCCTTTACATACTGTAGTGAATCGCACATAATCAAATTAGTGAGAAGTTAATGAGTTTGCCGGGATAGGGATCTAAAAGGATGAAATGCTATAAATAGATCATCACTCGCAAGTCTCCCAAAGCTATAAACTTTTCAAGTTGTTCCATTGAATTAGCGCAATGAAATCATGTCATTGAATTTCGTTAGCAAATGCCAACATAAAAGTATAGTTGTTTTGTGGTGCAATGCTATCCCGACAACAATCATAGCCAGTCAAACTCAAGTATGTAAAAAATATTCAATGGCAGGGTACCAGTCTAGTGGAATATAGAATAGCCAGTTCATATCATGGGAAAATATGACGGATACTATGTGCCCCTGACCGTCTGATAGTATCATCCAAGTGTACGAGCCTTTTCTTGTTAATTTCACAAGCTATAATTTTTCCCTTTCCTTTCATGAGTGCAGCAAGGTGAGAAGTTTTGTTGCCTGGAGCAGCACAAGCATCAAGAACCTAGACAAGCAGCAAAAAAGTTGTTAAAGATATTAAAATGCCGCAACAAACAACTAAAATAAGCAAATAACAGAATCCGTTTTAGATTATTAATAACACTTGAGTAAAATTTCAGTGACATCCTAAGCATGGTTTGTAAATAAAGTTAATTGATGAATAACATTGCATATACTCTAGCTGCATCCAGATGTCGAGCAAAGTATCATGTAGGTTACATAACACATCTTTGGGAACATGGGAACAAAAAGGAAGTTTAAGCATGACGGTTGATTATACTGTAGGCTACATAACATCAAATTATCAACATGGGGAACTTGGCAAAAAAGGAAGAAGAAATATCACAACTATGACTAACAGACCTTCCATCCCGGTTTTGGACATAAGGCAACAGCCACCATCGAACTTGCCTTCCCCTAGAAAATAAAAAAGTATTATTAGTAACTGAATGGAAAAAAGAACTGGAAATCTGTAGTGCTGACTATCAGCTTACAAGCTTAACAATTCACTTTATTTTCATGATTATCGGATGCATAAATGTAAGATGCATTAGACAATGCTTTTTAATTTTCATTCAGGGCAATTCCTCAAAAATTTAAACATGATTATCCATTTTTATGGTACATCACCTTTAGGAGATTACATTACTTAATGGACTATTCCATTAGCTTCTGAAGATCATTTATTGTATGTTACAGATTTTTTTGAGCTTCATTTCACTCATTTCAGCGGCGGATATCCATATTTCACGCTAACCACATCTAGAAAAGCATATTCTTGGGTATAACACGATGCAGTTCAATGTTCTTCTTACTCAAAAATTCCAACAAAAAACTAATTATGCTTAAAACAATGACCAAAGCTATAATATCATATTATAAAGAAACTTTTTCCCGTCTCAAGATCTTACCATTCATGCCATCACCTTGGAAAAAAGAAAAGGACATTCTTTTCCATAATAAGCGTGGTCCAAGTATACATATATGAGGCTTGTTTCCTGCAATTGAATACCATTCTGTTATCCGCCTCTTTGACAGGTCACATTCTTGCCTTGCTCCGTCGCACTTTGCACGGCGCCCGCGCCCTTGCCACGATGCCCCAGCCACCAACCATATCATCTGCTTTGTGTTGTTGACCTCGTTTTTAGACCAAAACCTGCAATCAACCTCGTTGATCCTTTAAATTGAATCCAGACGAGCTCAAATTAATCAACACCAATTCAATTTCAATCAAATAGGTTTAACTGAACAACATCAAACCAATTCGACTCAACTCGAGTCTGATTTAGGTTTGGAGGCTTCGATTAATCCAATTTAACTCGTCTCTATTTAATTTAAATTAAATCGAGGTTGAATAGTTCAAACCGACTTGAACTCATACGCGCTTCCACGCAAACTCACGCACTTTGTCCTCACATGCATTGTTGCATGCTTGAATGCATTCATAATGCCTATTACTCTTAGTGGGCAGCGTAGAGGTTTAGCCATGCAAGCTTTCTCCCTCACAAATGATTGCTCTCTTCTTCAGACAACTTTTTCCCTGCTCTAAATCCTTTGCATTCTTATCTTTGCCTAGATGAGATGACCTTGCTGACTATTTGATGTAGACAAATGAGGGGTCAACTCATGTCAAAAATAATTAGATTTTTTACTTCCCTTGAGTCTACTAGCTCAATCAAAATTGAGCTGAAATTTTAGCTCATTTATGAGCTGATCTTTAGTTCACTTATTGAACTAAGGGTTAGCTCATTATTAGCTATGATTTTAGCTCATAGTTATCTTATATTAAATGTTCTTTTTTATGCTTTTTATGTTTGCAATCATGTTTGTCTCTTGGAATTCCAAACCGGCCTTTGGAATTCCAAGATTTACTTTTCCCATGAGGTGGCTCCTTGGCTTCCTCTATGGCCTCTAGTATTTTGTGCATTTTCCCCCTTGGATTCCGGCCGGCTGCTGGTTTTCCGTGCCTGGGCTCCTTTCCATGACCGTAACTCCTTGGAATCGTGAGGCCTCCTTGGAACCGTGCGGCCTCCTTGGCTCCCGCAGTTGCCTCTTCGGTTCCTTGGCTTGGGCTGTTTTTCCGTGCAAAGCATTTGAGATTAATGTTTGTGATGTTTAGGTTCTTGTGATAATTAATGTTAGTGTCTCTTTGTATTCCCTTTCATACCTATATATATGGGGGATTTGTAATGTTTAAAAAAAGTGAATGAAAATGTAATTTTTGGAAAAGCTATAACCTGCGTGTTTGCTTTGGAAATCCTACGGGCTCTTTCCACCCTTCTTTCTCATCTCCTCCGGAAATCCTGCGGGCTCTTTCCACTTTTTCTTCTCGGGCTTCTAACCTCTTTCGTCTCTCCGCAAGTGCCACTCCACCTGTATCCTTCTTCTCTAAGTGAAGCAACTTTAGGGTGTCTTTTTATTTTATTTGGAGTCGTTTGTAAGAGTTTAAGTTATTAAAATCAACGTTTGTAGTTTTAATTTCCGCTGCTTAGTCTTATTTAAGTTATCTCTTCTTTTTGAGGTATTTTGTGTCTTCTTTTACATAGGAAATCTGTTTTCTTTTTGTGATAGAAAAATATAGGGTCCTATATTTTTGATTGCATCACTATTCCTCTCATAAGTCTCTATTTCTTCCCAATCACTTCCCTCCTCAGAGGTTCCTCCATGTAAGTTAGGGTCTCTTATACGGATGTTTCTATTGGTTCGAAGGCTCCTCCTACCATCATTTCTTTGGATATCAAGCCTCCTGCTAATTACAATCATAATTATTTAGCTAAAGTATTAGTTGGATCATCGAGTTCAGGATTGCACCCCTCTCCTACCGCCAAATTTTCTTTATATTTTAATCAAGACTCCAGTCCATCGCAACATAAGCAATCATCTTCCTTTCAAGGGAAGTCTATGCTTATCTTCTCTGAGTAGGGAATCTCTAAGCTTCCTAGGTTACTCTCTGTCTCTTGTAAGAAAATTCTCATTAGACCATCCGAACAGGGTTTTCATTCGTAATTTTTTTCAAAACTATAATTGATGGATAACTATTCAGTTGGATTAAATGACACTTGCACCATCATTATAAGACTATCATTGAATGCAAATTATACACGACTCTTCCCTAGACATACATACTATGTCAATCGTTTTTTTTTATATGTATGCTTAAGTTGCCCATTTTGATGCATTTCTTCAACCAATTCACTTCATCCTCTTTAATAAATATTTGCAAGCAGATGCCGCCACTGTTCATCTTTTTAAGCCTTCTATAGGCAGAGTTTTCATTGAAATCGACATTATATTATCATTGAAAAATAAGATTTTGATTATCTCATAATAATGTAGCTATTGGCATAAGATAGTTTGTGTAAATTTTTTTAACACAATTTCTTCGGAGTGTTTCAAAGCTCATCAAATTTGAGACAGTCAAGCATTCAAATGCAAGAGGGACATTCTAATTGTCTACCTACTAACATAATTGTTACTGCTCCTCCATCATAACATCAATTTTTCTCTTAGAATTTGGAACAAATTGATTTTCTTCAAGATCTAGAGTCTATTGTGCCTACCCCTACTAAGCTTATAGCTTCTACATCTTCTGAAGATAAAATAATAGATTTTGACTCTCTTATTGTTGTTATTCCCCCTCCCCATCCTATTTGTGAAGACAGAGATGGTCATGATGATCAACAACCAAAAAATTCTACTGCGGGTAGTATGAGTTATGACATTTAGGTGGATAGGAGATTTTAAATCCTATTTATCGAAAAATACATCATCAATCTCCATTTTTCACTGGGCCTCAAACAAGTTGATCCAATTGAGCTCTTATTCTCCTTTGTTGTTTTCCCGTCTCACCCTTTATATATTTTCTCTTTTGTATTTTCCTTTGTACTCAAGCAATTCTAGTTAATTGCTATTGTCATAATCACTACATTTTATTATTAGAAAATATTGCATTTAATAAAAAAAAAATATGAAGCTTGTGTCATCACAAGTAATTGATATCTTAAATAAAATCAATACAATGGAGAACCATGCAAGTTCAAATTTGACATAAAATCCAGCAAATTTAAAATTCAGTTTTAACTATGCCTATCCATGACAACTACAGTTGTTTAGACATTTGCTTTCTTAGTAGGCCTGTGGTTTGATATTGAAACAGCCCTACAACTAGTAGGCCACTAATGTAACAACACTCGTTGAAATCAAGATTGTCAATGTGCAAAGGAATCTTCTTGCTTTAAAGAGTGAAATACAAACAAAACATAAACTTTATTTAATTGAAGAACACATATTACTAGAAATATTAGTGTTACAGAGTCAAAATTGGATGGTTAAACTAGAGAAGTAGGAGTCATGTGTGATAAGAGAATAACATGAGGGCTTCAAGATAAATTTTACCATCCCGCAATAGGTTGATAAGCTAAGGGAACCCAGGAGAGCTATTATTCATTATGTATGGAGGAGGAATCAAGAGGAGCTGTTTAGGAAGGTTCCTAATTAAGAGAAAGTTATTTAGGAAAGTTCTTTAGGAAGGTTTCTAATCAATGGGGTAGTTGTTTAGAACATTTTCTTAATTGTGTTTATGATATTTAAGAAATGTTTAATTATTTAGGAAGGTTTCCTAAAATATGCTTAATTGTTTAGGAAGATTTTCTAAATCATGTTTAATTGTTTAGGAAGGTTTTCTAAATCATGTTTAGTTATTTAGGAATGTTTTCTGAATTATCTTTATGTTGATTAGGAATGTTCTATTTATTTAAAAAGATTTCTTAAATTATGTTTATGATGATTAAGAAGGTTCTAATTGTGTTATTGTGTTCTAGGGCTATTTAAGTGGGAGTTTGAGAATGGTTTCGAGAGGGATATTGCGAGTTTATTTTATTAGTGTTTATTGCGAGTTCCTAGTGGCGTATAGGGATTGTAGAAGAGTTGATTTACCTCTTGAATTGTAGATCATTTGTATCTTGTTTTCCCTTATTGAAGTTTTAATAAAAAATCCCGTTGTTTTTCTCTTTTATTTGTTGTTTTTACTTCCAAGGCGTATCAACTTGGTATCAGAGCACTTTTTTGGAACCTATTGCAGCAAAGAAGGTAGAGGCATTGGAGAGTAAGATGGAGCAAATCAAATCCAACATGGAGAAGAGGTTTTCACTCGTGGAAGGAAGGTTCTCAAATATGGAAGGAAGGCTCTCATCCATTGAGAACTGCTTTCAAAACCGCTTTGAGAAATTGGAGGATATGATGAAGAAGATGATTGAGATACAGTCAAAAGATTTACCGATGATTCCTAGGGCTGAACCAAAGAGAAAGGAAAATCTTGAGGAGATGATAAGAAAGCTCATGGAGATGTGATCCAAAACTCCATCAACGGTTCAAATTGCTAACCCTAATCAAGATTTGATCAGGATTCTCTTGGCCGAATCTAAAAGGAAAAGGATCAAATGGAAAGAGAGCCCCTTTCATCAAGAGCCACCTCCTAGGGCTCCGATAAGGGGCAGAATAGGGTTTCCAGATGAAGGGATAGCAAGGTGGGACTTTTGTGGTGGAGGTGGTAAGGCCAACCACTATGGGAGGCATTTAAGGCATGGGGATTGGGCACTCAGAGATAGAGGGGGTCGAGCTGAGTCATGGGGATCAGGTTATGCAAGGAGGGTGGAAGAAGGATGGGATTCACAACCTCGATGCACGGGGAAAACATGGAGGGAACAAGACAACCGCTACACTGGAGGAGAAAGAAGTTATTGGGGGGCAGTGACGATCCTAAGAACAAGCATGATCCATCCGGCAGAGACACCGTGCAAACTGCTCCGCTTTTTGGTACCAGATGGTACGCATTTAGATGTTGATACACCTTATGCTGAGGTTAAGGTTATGAAGATGTGCATGACGTTAACGTTGCCCACTTCTGGAGTTATTCATTTTATGTTGACAGAAGGCCATGCCATACAGGCAGGAGATCTTATAACTAAGTTGGATCTTGATGATCCATCAGCTGTGAAGAGAGCTGAACCAATTCATGGAAACTTCCCAAAGCTAGGTCCACCAGCTACAGTTTCTGACAAAGGTTATCAAAGATGTGCTGCAAGTTTAAATGCTGCAAGAATGATTATTTCTTGCTATGATCATAACAGCAGTCAGGCTGTGCAAGATCTACTAAATTGCCTGGAAAGTCCGGAGCCTCCCTTCCTACAGTGGCAAGTATTGTCCACTCGCCTTCCAAAAGATCAAAAAAATGAGTTAGATGCCAAATACAAGGGGTATGAGACAATATCAAGCTATCAAAAGAACATCGAGTTCCCTGCCAAGTCACTGAGGGCAGAACTTGAGTTTCACCTCTCATCCTGCTCTAAGAAAGAAAAGGTCACACTGGAGAGGCTTGTGGAACCTTTAATGAGTCTAGTAAAGTCACATGAAGGTGGAAGAGAAAGTCATGCTTGTGTAATTGTGCGGTCTCTATTTGAAGAATATTTCTCTGTTGACGAATTGTTCAGTGATACCATTCAGGCTGATGTCAATGAGCGCCTTCGATTACAATATCTACTAAAAATTGTGGACAGTTCTTTCCAATCAGGTATTTCCCATCAGGGTGTAAGGAGTAAGAATAAGCTAATATTAAGGCTTATGGAATCATTGATTTATCCTAA